AGTAAATCATTTACATGTAAAGGGGAGAAAATTTCCAACAGAGGGAACAGCAAATGCAAAAATGAGTTTGTGGACCATGTCACCTCATGTCCCTGTTATGCCCCAAGTATACCTACCATGTTCATCAGTCCCTTTCTTCACAAGAGGAGTGTCTTCAGCTGACATAGAAATTCATCCTTTTTGGAGCTGGATGAGCTCTAGTAAGTTAACCTGGGGCACTTATCATTGAGCAATGTGCTAACTGCTGATTTACCTGGGTAACACTGGTATCTTCATCCATTCCATAAGCAAGTGCAATAGTTGCTTTCTAATTATCAGGGACACTCCTTTCATGTTTTCCACTGAATTTAAATGAAAGGAAGTCACATGGATAGAGAAACCAGGTGGAAATTCAATCCCAACTTCAGTGGAGGGATAAACCTCAAGTAAAAATAAGTAGTTAATGAAGAGGCACCCACCCTCTGTCCAACTTAAAATAGCAATAGTTTTCTAATTAAAAAAATCTTTTTGTAAAATATTTCAAATTTAGAAAGTCTCTGTTAGTAAGACAAATACTATGATAGTAAGCTCAGATAAATTTCTGAAATTGCGAACAACTTTCTCTCAGTCCTGCACTAGTGCTGTTTATCATTTGATCTGACAGGTTACTACATATACAAATTGGAAATAAAGCAAATGAAAAATAAATTATAGCAGTTTATCATTACTTCAGTTAGTGTTTATGCTATGCATAAAAATTTTCTATAGCTCAAATTCATAGTCAATTTCAATTCATGGTTTTAGATTGATCAAATATATTTTATGAAATGTTCATTATATAACATACCCTCCAAATTTTCAACAGCATTTATTATGTACTCATGCAATTATAGAAGAAATAAAAACAAGCACTATGAGTTTACATCTACAGACCAGAATAACAATATACAAAACAATAAACCAGTATATACACATACATACATATATATGTCATACCTTCTAAAAATATTAACAAAAACCCATCTGTTTATAAGTAATGTATGCAAAACTCAAAATTAGCAGTAAGAGAGATCACAGCCGGGTCTGATGATTCACTTTCTAGATTCACACAACTCAACAATGTCTTCCATGGCTATGATTTATTGCAATGAAAGTGTGCAAAACAAAATCAGAAAAGAAAAAAGCACTTGGGACAAAATACAGAAGAAACCCGTTGCAGACTTCCAAGAGTCTTCTCCCAATGGAATCACAAAGGATGGGCTTAATTCCTTCTGCAACTACTTTTGACATGTGTGAAGTGCTGCCTAACAAGGAAGCTCATTAGAGACTTGGTGCTTAAGGTTTCTGTTGGGTAACTGGTCACATAGGCATTCTCTGTCAGGCATAAAACAAAATTCCAGACTCCATGAAGGAAAGCAGATGTTCAGCAAAAGCACATTGCTTGTTAAACAGTTTAGGCACAGTGAGCCACTCTTACCAATAAGGGAATGATGGAAATACTTCTGAAATCTCAGTTCCCAGATGCACGTCAAAAGCCAGCTTTGCAATCAGGCCCTTTGAAGGATGGTATCTTAGCCCTGCTGTTACTGACTCTGTTCTACAGAGTTGTTAAAGCTGTTTTATAATCAGATTACCCCGGGCTCATATCCACATTCTACCACTTATACTGACGTGACCTTGCACAAGTTATCTAAACAATTTGCACACCTCAGTTTTAGCAAGTGTTACATAATTTTAATCAGGCAATTATATCATCCGATTTCATGAAAATCACAGGCAATAATGCACATACAGTTCTTAGCACACTAACTGCAATGAGTCTTCCCTCAATAAATGCTGATGAATAACAATAGTATGTATGGCAGCTACCTTCACAGAACTTAGAATAGAATGTATGAACAAGATTCAAACAGCAGAAATGGAGAGTAAATAAGTTGGTTTTTCTGTGTGTGTAAGTGTGTGTGTGTGTGTGTTATCAACTCTAAGTGCCACAAGAGTTCTGAGAGTAAAAGCTTCACTGCCAGGATAAGTATTATTTTGCTAAGTGCTATGGAGTCACAACTATGAAAGATAGCAGTAGCTGCAGAAGTAGCTTTCAGAAGACAACGAAGTAGCTGAAACATGAGTGACGATATTGGGATCCTTACACTGTTCTCTGAGGAAACTCTCCTATAAAACTTCATAGCTTGAATGTGGCCGTTATTCTTGACACTAGAAATTCTTAGATTGGAAAGCAGGATCAGAAGAAATTAGTGGGATAGTCTGATTTAGGTACAGTCTGATACTTTTGTGATTTTTTTTTGGGGGGGGAAATAAAGCATTATTATCCTTGTGCATCATTTTTTATAACCTCTTGATAAGCAAATAGAACAAATAATATTGATGAACAATAACTGCTATACTTAGATATGGACTCAGATATAACTATCAGCAGGTAGAATTTTTTTTGACATAACTAATGATTAAACATCATGATTACTTGGAAAACACATGCTGAGTACAAACTTGCAGAATGATTGAATTAATAAATAAATGAATGAATGAGTTCAGAATATAATGAGACCTATGATTCATCAAAAAGGGACACCTGGGAAGCTAGCTCATTTTTAATGAAAGTTACCTGTGATGAGAATCTTCTCTTTTGAAATGTTATCTTTCTAAAGATAAACTTTCTAAGCTAATATTAAGAATTTAGAAATTCTTTACAAAATGAGTTTATTTTATATCATAATTAAATTTTGACCCACAATTATTACAAAGTAAACATTTTATGACATTTTGTAAGTATTTAATATTAAGGAGTATGGGGCTTTGATTATTTCTAAATAATCACTTCTAAAGTGTATTTTTTTTTTACTAGAAAAAAATTATAGATGAATTATAGAAATATATACCATATAGGATATCAACTAAAGTATATAACTTAAAGTAAAATTATTTGTTAAAATTATAAGTCTTACTGCATCTCAACTGATTCCAATGTAGAAATTATCAAAGCCACTTCAAAAAAAAGTTTTCTTTAGTGCTACCCTTAATTAATCATAAAAAAACCTTGATATGGTTATCCCTATATATAGATATAATTATTTCACATACATTGCAAATTTAGTTGTGACTCATAGCCTATGTTCCAATTTAAATTTACACATTTTGGAAAAACACATTTATAAAATGTAGTAATCAGTTAACTCATTTGTTAATTATCTAGACATCACATAGAAAATGGTATACATAATATCAGTGATATGAGGAGAGATCATTGTTATTAATCTAAGTAATTGGTAAATGCCTTTGAATTTATTCTGATAGTGTACTTTTTATCAAAGCATCCATCACATTTCTTAAAATAACTTCTTGATTATTTATTTCTCTGGACTATAATACACTGAGGATTATAGTTGTGCTTTTATTATTTTATTCTTGGCCTGTGTCAGCTGACTTTATACTAGGAGCTCAAGAAATGCTGCATTAAACTGATTTGAGTTAAATTTAATCAAATTAAATTAGTTAAATAAATTTAAGATAAACAGTGTCCTTAGTTTCAGATGAAGTATAATTTTAAGTTAAAAAGGCAATGTCAACCAAATCAAATCATTTACACATTGACAAGTCTTATAAAATAGTATGGATTTTCATTGACTCTAAGCCTCAATTGTCAAGTTGTATCATTATTTTAAATTTTTATTTATTGATTTGAGAGAGAGAGAGAGAGAGAAAGAAGGGAGAGAGAGAAAGATTGATTTGTTGTTCCACCCATTTGTGCATTCATTGGTTGATGCCTGTATGTGCCCTGACCAGGGATTGAACCTGAAACCTTGGCCTATCTGGCCATGACAGTTGTACGACTATTTTATAAAGAACTATTAAAGAAAAAAACACTGCACATTAAAATAAGATGCAGCACTTTATTAATATTTATAACTTTAATTTTATAATTACCAGGATAGCTTTTTGAGACATACTTAAACAGATTATTTTAATCATTTTAATCACTCCTGAATGTTTTATGCATACACACACACACATACACATATATCCAGGAAATGTAGGTTAAATAAATTGAGTAAGGCATTTTAAAGCCTTTCCAGGAAGTATTTGGCTCTTCTAAATTAGTTTTTGAGACCAAGTCCTTAATGTTCATTTTTCACATAAGAGATTGTTCTCTTTGCCTATAAGGAAGCATATTTTAATGGAGAAGTCCATCATTTTCTCTGGTAATTCCATCTATACTCCTGCGTCCACTCTCCAAGTTTGGTGCTGGTACTTTCTTGACCTTACCAGAGTGTGCCAACAGAACATAGGATTTCATATTCCTTTTTAAATGGTCCTTGAATGGTTTGAGTGAAATGTGGGTTAATGTGAGTTATTGCCATTGTCCAACTAAGCCACAGAAATAACAATCCAATTCAAGCATTCATAGGCCATGATAACTATATTACTACCTATGTTTGCACCCTGATAAATCTTTGATGAACCCTTATTTCTAATGTAGTAAGTTATGGAAACAATTGGTCTCTTAGAATCCAAGAAATACAATATTAAACAAAAATAATAATGGGTTCTGATAAATAAATGAAAGCTAATTTAATTAAGTGTATGTGAGTGTGTCTGTGTGTGTATGCATGTGTGCACAGTATACTAAAAAATAAAATTCTAACACATACAAGTCATTTATATAATGCCTAGATTTTTGCTACCCACATATACCTGCACTTATTAAGATATTTAGACAGTTTAGCTATATCTTATTGAAAAATGTTTCTATCAAAAGTTGAATGATTATGGCCATAAACTATATATTAAACAGTTCTAATTTATCATTTTAGGTGCTTTCAAAGATATGGTTAAAGATAACCAGTCAAACTGATTGGAAAATATTGAAAAGTCTTCAGTATAGTCTATGTGAACTACTGTTTTCCTTTTATTATTACAATGTGCTTTCTCAGCTTTCAAAATTAACAATGTTTAAAATAAATAAATGACCCAGCAACTGAATATTTCTTAATCTCATCTCTACTCAGGTCCCATAAGCAGTATTTTGGTGAATAAATATGGTAGCCGGCCAGTGGTGATGCTGGGAGGTTTGTTATGCTGTGCGGGATTGGTCGCAGCCTCTTACAGCACCAGTGTAATAGAACTCTACCTCACCGTGGGGTTCATTGGAGGTAAGTTTTGTTCTCAGCTTATTATCCTAATGCTCATGTTGTTTACAAAGCTCTCTAAAAAGCATGAACAACAGAACATTCTAACTGTGTTCTTTGAATTTTATTTTCATATCAGGTACAATCTTGAATTATTTTCATCTAGTATTTCATCATAGTGAAATACGAGCTAGGGATTATCCAGTCACAATTATTTCATGTAATAGGAAAAAACGATTTATCAGATATGCAATGTGCTATGATGTAAATGTCAGAAACGAAAACAGCTTTGGTCTGTTTTATTGTTTTACCCATATTGTTCAGCCAGTTAAGATGGTAGACAGAAACATTCTGGCACTTAAATAGCTTCTTTTTTTTTTTTTTTTAAATGTAGTTTTTGTTACTTATTACTATCTAGAGTTTCTGATGTATTACTTATAATAGGTTAAAATGGTAGCAAAAAGATAATTTTCTGGATGCACTGACTTAGCTTTAATAGTAGAATTACTTGTGTCTGTGTTCTGTTTATGGTAGAGTTCTGTATTGGTGCCTTTTTCCCTTCCTAAAAGATGCTGTTTCAAAGCTCTACAAGACACATTTTTCACTAAACACAAATATTGTCAAATGACATACTATCATTTGATTATAGTTGTTTCTCATGCATAATGTCTCTGGACTCAAACTGACTTGAATGTGCACATTTGGAAAATACTATTTTTACTGGCCTCAATAATAAATTGAATCAAACTGAATCTATACTCAGTTTTAAGAAAAATAGACTTCAATATATAAAGAAATTGAATATTTTTCTTATGCTCATAGATAAAAAGGTAAATATAGTTCTATTTTTATTGTGATTTTAGATTAGTCTAACCTTGCACTTACTTATGTATCATGTGTTGAAAAAAATTAGACACATTAAAGCCTACAACATAGTGATGTTAAAATCTTTCTCTTTACTACCTATCAACAACTCCCTCCTTCTTGATATGATAAAACACCCTGTGTGAATGAAAATCTTATTGTGTCTAAGAATGGTCAGTGGAGAGAATGCCCTTTCCTTAATGCTGAAATACTTATATTACATTTGACCATGGAAGTAAGGCTGGGCCTACAAGTAGATGTATTAGAGAAAAGATGATCTTGGAATTACTGTACCACAAATATAAACAGTATCATACATGTGGGGCAGAAGTAGGCTTACAGTTGTGAGTATGTAGAACACAGAGGTTATTCTTATATAATTATTTATTAATTATTGTATTATTTTCCCTACGAAGAACTGTAAACCCACTTTTGCCCCACCCTGTATATTATTCTAACTTCAGTTCCACTCCTTTGGATCTTGAACACTTTGGTGCTGCTCGAGTCAACTATTAAAAACACCTATAAGAAATTTACCTTAAGTCATTAACAGCCAATACTTTTGGTATCTGAAATCAGACAGATCTTTTAAAAAACCTGACTCAGCACATATCTGTGTGATCATGGATAAATTAACCTCCTATGCCTCATTCTTTTAGTCTTTAAAATGGGGGACATGATAGCTCTATCCTTTGGGAGTTCTTGGAATGATTAAATTTAAAAAATTAACATATAGTACTTTACAGAGTGCCCAGCATTTTCATTACTTTTAAATAAATATTAGCAAATAATAATAATCACAATGTTTTACAGTTCTGGAACTTAGTTGATTTTGGCAAACTTATTTTTGTTGTTGAAGGAATTAGAGCTTAAGAAATCTGAATGTTTTGCCAAGTAGAAACCATAAGTAAGTAGTTGAGGTAGATTTAGATTTTTTTTAAATTTCAAATCTCATGTTTGTTTTGCCATGCCAGAATAGGAAGTAGATGGCCACTCTCTCCTATTGAGAACTTGGATTAACATCTGAAATCAAAATTCTAGGTGACAGAATGGGGGCTGGGGGATGGGACATGGCACAGGATAAAGAAATTTAGCACACAATTTCAAACTACAGTTTGGGCTCTGGCCAGGTAGCTCAGTTGGTTAGAGCATCCTCCAGATGAACCTAGGTTGTGGGTTGGATCCTGGTCAGGGCACATACAAGACTCAACCAATGAATGGAATGCATAAATAAGTGGAATAACAAATCAGTGTGTCTCTCTCTTTCTCAATTCAATAAATAAAAATTAAAAAGAAAAACACAATCCGAAACAATTCCTGGGTTTTCATTTTGGTTTTTCCACTTACAAGCCACTGACCATAGGCTGGTCAGTTTTATCTCTTTTGAGTTGGATCTAATCATACTCATTGTGCATGTCCCACAGGTTTGGGAGAGGTACAGGCAGGGAGCATCTGCCCTGTTACTCCTCAAGCATTCTTGGTTCCTCCCAGTCAGCTTTTAGGGACACTCCAACTCATAAAAAACATTTGTACTAAATGTTTACAGTAAATTTTTATACTCAGAACTGAGTGTCCCAGAATCTAAATACTTAATTACTTTGCAGTACTATGTCAATTTACGTAAATTAGTAAGTGCAGGATTCTTACTTCTATAACTCCTAAAATAATATGGAAGGATATCTAGGCTAAGGTCAAAAGAGTGGTAGTTTGTATAAGTCAATTTTATATTCTTTTTAAACAACTTATTCATTACTATTGCTGAATTAATACCTTGGCGAGCTATAAGAAATAATTCATTTTCAAAGGTGATATTTAGCACTGCCAAGCAGTTCCCTAGACAGCAGGAACTTTTGACTTATATAAATAAACAATAACCTTTACTCCCTGAAATAAAAGTATTTGTTATTTAGTTAACACACATGTGCATCTATATTCATGAAATGTGGAATGTGAGGGATAGACAGCATGAAGGTAGTGGCATGAATTTATTCTTCTTTATTATTTTCATGGTTTTGAAGAAATCTCTCTGGGGAGACCTAAGATTTTTATAAGTGACAACGTTTTCAGTCTGTTCAACTCTAAAAATAAAGCATTCCATTTTAAATGCAGTCTTTCCCACAAGAAAAAAAAAACATCATATATATATATGTATATATACACACACACACATATATACACACACACACACACATATATATGATCTCTCTCTGTCTATGTATATATATATGATCTCTTTATATTATAATCTATATATATTTTCATCTCTTTATATATATATAAAGTGATGAAAATCTGGAATTAAATGATTGTAATTATAAAAACAAATAGTTTTGTCTTAGTTTCAACCTATTCTATGATTATTGAAACATCAATAAAAGTTTTAGGTTTTAAAACTTTTTATTATTTAAAATGAAAGGAATATGAAACCATCATACATATTAAGTGCCCAGTTATAAGAAACTTTTTATGTGTCATTCTATTGATATTTATAATTAACAAAAATCACTACCTGATATTGCACGTTGAATTCTGCCTTACCCAGCTGAATGTACGTTTTGAAGAGTCATTTCTTTTGTGAGCGACCTAATGTGTTTATGTTTTTCTTCCTTCTGTTTTGTTCTTTGCAGGTTTAGGTCTAGCCTTCAACCTGCAACCCGCCTTAACAATCATTGGCAAATACTTCTATAAGAAACGACCCATGGCGAATGGACTTGCCATGGCAGGAAGCCCTGTGTTCTTAAGTACATTAGCTCCTTTCAATCAGTTCCTTTTTAATACTTTTGGCTGGAAAGGAAGCTTCATGATTTTGGGTGGTATATTGTTGAATGCCTGTGTGGCTGGTTCTCTCATGAGACCCGTTGGACCCAAACAAAATACTAAGTCTGAAAAGATTGGAGAAACAGAGCGTGAGTCAGGTGTGGGAAAAAGCCATAAGAAGACATCAGTATGGGAAAAAATTAATAACTATTTAGATTTCTCCCTTTTCAAGCATAGGGGATTTTTGATATACTTATCTGGAAATGTCATCATGTTTCTGGGATTTTTTGCCCCGGTTATATTCTTGGCTCCATATGCTAAAGACAGGGGAATCGATGAGTACTCTGCAGCCTTCTTGCTGTCTGTTATGGCTTTTGTTGATATGTTTGCGAGGCCTGCTGTAGGATTCATTGCAAACACCAAACTTATTCGACCTCGAATCCAGTACTTCTTCAGTTTTGCGATCATGTTCACCGGAGTGTGTCATCTCTTGTGCCCGTTGGCAGAGAACTATATAAGCCTGGTGTTCTATGCTATATTTTTTGGCCTTGGGTTTGGGAGCGTTAGCAGCATCCTCTTTGAAAGCCTCATGGACCTGGTTGGCGCACAGCGGTTTTCCAGTGCCGTGGGGCTCGTCACCGTGGTGGAGTGCTGCCCCGTGCTCCTTGGCCCTCCTCTTGCTGGTAAGAGTGTTTCTCATCAAGAAAAGCGAAACGCTGTCAACTGAGACATTCTTCATAGCATATCTTGTGTTTTGTAATTTGTAAGCATACTAATAGCTTGAAAGACTGCGGGTATGTTGATTTTGGGTTTTTATTATGTATTTTTAAACTTCACAATTAGTGGAATTTAGATCTAAATTTGTTTCAAAGCCTGAACCTATGAACTTAAGAATTTAAGTTAAACTGATAATTAATAGCATAATTTTTAGGTTTTCACTCATATCAGTTTTTGTGCTTTTAAAGATGTAGCATAAAAAAGTCAGTTTTTAAAATTTTATCATTGGTGAATAGATTTATTTTGTCTACATTAAAGTTAGTAAAAAATGTAAAATAATGCTCTCAAAAAATCGGGATCTATTTTCTTATTGTTCATATTGATAAAAAACTTGCCTCAGGAAGAAATACTTTTATAATATGACTGATAAGAATATAGATAGATAGATAGATAGATAGATAGATAGATAGATATGGAATGAAGGAAAAGCTATTAAAGGTCTTTTTTTATCAGACACATTTCATAATTACAAATTATAAAACTAACTTTTCATTTTAAGATCTGAAATATTTTAATATGCCTTCAAAAATATGTGTGTTAAATAACCCAGTAATGGCACTAGTAAAGACACATGTATGAGTTCATTTTGAAGTTTAGACTTTTTTTTAATGTTTTTATTTATTTTTTAATTTTTTTAGAGAGAGTGAGGAAGGGAGAGAAAGAGAGAAACATCAGTGATCAGCTGCCTCCTACACACTGCCCACTGGGGATCAAGCCTACAACCTGGGCCTGTGCCCTGACTGGGAATAGAACTGGGACCTCTCAGTCCATTGGGTGACGCTCAATCCACTGAGCCACACCTGCCAGGCTAGTCTTAGACTTTAATGGTAAAAATATTAAATACGTTTTGTGAGTCAGTCTTTGCCAGTAACACTGTACCTTATTTTGATTACTACTAAACTTAGATATTCACTTAGATTCCTAGCCCGCCCCCTAGTGGTCACAGTAATTGCTGGGCTACTGTAAAATGTTCAGTGTATTTAAATCAGTTTATATAAATAGCTTCCTACCTGACATTAAGGAATCATTTGGAAAGTGGGAAAATTCATGTTTAATTTGCTAGTCTTAAGGCAGCTTTGACTTTTTACCTTTTGCTTCTTCACTTGGTTAGGAATGATCTGCGTATTTGTGAATTTTCTGTCCACCACAGCTGTCCCCTGGTAAATTGCACAGTTGTTTTGGTTGGTATCTCTCAGTGTGGATATACCATGGCACCAAAACAATTTTCAAAAAGAGTGAAAACCAGTCAGTCTTATTTATCAGCCAACTGATTTTGTTTTATAAGTACAACTATCCTATCTTTTCATACAGAAGCAGTTTTGCCAAATGGGTTTTAGTAGCCTTATTATCAATAAAACTCTCATCAACAGAGAAAATTGTATTTTAGCAGTCATAATGGGATGTTAAAAAAGAAAAATCAAGTCAGGTCAACAGATGTACTGAGCGGGCTTGAAGGATGACAATGGAGGAATCTGCTGTGGCTACTTCTCCTTGGGCTGAAGATATTTATTAATAATATTTGTATCTATTTCTGTACCCTTGGGTACTTATTGTTTAATACTGCCAAACCACTGTACCTGTGGTGGCAATGGCAGTGGTTGATTTATGGCTCCTTCTTGAAGCTCACACGATAGCCAAAATACTCCTACTTTTTCATCCTGTTTCTGCCTCCTGCTACCCCTGACACTCCCTGACTTTTAGACTGGCTTCTCCTCTACAGCATGCGGTATCTTCTAGAGTGGTGTCTGGCACATTGTAGGCACTCAGTGAATTCTTCTGGATGAGTGTGTCTTGTTGTAGTTAGTTCTCACACAAAGCTATGAACAAAAACATTTGTAGAAGTTGATAAACCTCCAGATTATATGGTACCAGGCTAGTTTGTTTTATGTTTTCAATACTCAAATGGAATAAATATTTTCTTCATGATTTGCTGCTGCTCCTACTACTCTCGTTAGAAGAGCAGGAAAAGGTAGGGAGAGAGTGATTTTTTTTTTTTTTTTTTTTTTTGAGAGCATGATTTTTAATTTAATCTTTTTTCAGCCCAAATTTTCACTGCTATACTCACAAAACTGAAGCTTGAGTTCTGAAAATCATATATGGTTCCTTGATGATGATAAAAAGAAAAAGTGCCAAAACATTTAGAAAGTATGTTGATACGGCAGCCCAAAATGATGTGAACTCTGATGGGGCCATAGAACCAATGTTTATGTATTTTAAAGTGTAAGAATCATTGTATCAATAGAAATATTTGACTTAAAGTTATAATGGAAAATTAAACTATGCAGTTTTTGTTATGCTTATGTATATGTCATATTTTAAGTGAGCCTATTGCACCATTTACCTCATTAAAACAGGGAACCTTGTTCAAATAGATAATTTCACGAGTAGCTAAATGGAATACTGAGCTACTAGCTAGATTTTAGTTAGAATGATAGAGACTCTGACTAAACAAATAGGTCTCCATTAGAATCACGTGGAATAAGCTTGTGATAAACAATATAAATTTGTGTACACTCAGTCACTTTTTCTGATAATAGTTATTGTTAAGAATTAGGTGCCTGCAAAAGCAAGAGACAAAGCTATGAACTGAAACATTTGTAAAAGTTGATAAACCTCCAGATTATATGGCACCAGGCTAGTTTGTTTTATGTTTTCAATACTTAAATGGAATAAATATTTTCTTCATGATTTGTTTGCTCTTAATAATTTAGATTCAGGTAAAGACAAAAAACAAAACTGTGATTAGTCACAAAATTCACATAACCCTTAACTGAGAGGCTTGGAGAAGCCATTTTACAGAACAGTTACAAATATGAGGTTCGGACAGATCTTGACTAGAACCCCGATTCCTCCACTCCCTTGCTGTGTATCCGTGGTCAGATGACTTCACAGTGCTCTTGTAGGATTATATGAAATATCTCAAATAAACGCGTTTAGCCTAATGCTGGGCATAGGGAAAGCGTTTATTAAACATTATGCCCTGTTATGAACGTTATAAAAGCTGTTGGATCTTTCCTAAAGAATGTAAATATTTCCCTCTTTATTGAAAAGATGGGGAGCATGGAAAGGAATGAAGCAATCTCAATGTGTACGCTGTAAACAAATAGATACATATATCTATTTCTACATGTATAGATATAAAACATAATCCTCACATATGTATATATTTATGAATATGCACCCAAAGGCACATATACCTACTTTGTCTCAGTTGTACATTTTTATTGAGGGAGATAATCTTCAATAATTTTAATATACTGGTAATAGAATGCTGCATGTGCCCATACATGCCTTTATTTATATCTATAAAAGTCATAAACTAAAATAATTTTTTTCTTTATTAAAGTCTCATTTAATATTAACAAATAAGAAATAGGTACATGCTTTGTCTGTGGAAGAATTTATTTAAAATATTATTATTTATGGCTCATTTATTATTTTATCCTAAAATATGTTTGTTGTTTTTGTTTTTTGTTTTTTTTTTGTCTCTTAGGTAAATTGGTGGATGAAACTGGAGAATATAAATATATGTATATAGCCTGTGGAGCTATTGTGTTCCTATCGAGTGTGTGGCTGCTCATTGGCAATACTATAAACTATAGATTGATCGCAAAGGAAAAGTTGGAAAATGCAAAGAAGGAAATTTATAATAAGCCTGAATCCAGAGAATCTGAACCCTTGAACAAATCTAAAGAATATGATGTTGAAGTCAAAAGTATGAAAACGGGAAGCAATCCCTCAGAAAGAGAAACTAATATATAGCAAGAATCACATCTTTAATTTCAGTGTTTATGACTTTCTTAGGAGTACTTTTTTTTTTCTTCAAAATATTGGAAAATATTTTAGTTGAAATAAAACTTCATAATGAATGATAGAGATAAGATTTTCCTCAATGCAGATTTTAAATGTTTCCTTTTTGAAATTTATTTGGGCAATTACATTTTGAGATTATGCATATAAAGAATCCTTGCAAGGGGTTTGCTTTCGTACATAACTCTGGTTGGGTGATTAAAATAATTCTAAATTCTTCCCGTGACTTCCAGTCTTGATTTTTGAGATCTGAATTCCAAACCCCTAGTTTAGTTAGAAGGAGTATGTGTGGTACTATGAGAATACTTCTCCACATTTCATTTTTTATTTGATATTAAAGTGTGAAATGGAATGAAAGGAAAATGAATTTCCACTTGCAGTATCTGGAGAAAAAAAGACAACTAAGTTCAAAAGGAACATTATCACTCCACTATTTTTTTACTTATAAAAAAAAATCTATGGAGAAAAAAGAAGTGTATTATATTTGCATACTACCATACACGTGGATTTTAAAGATAAGAACATGGGTGGAAATGAGGTTATCTTAATTTGAAAATACAGCTAGCTGTTGTAAAAAAAGAAAGTCATTTGCATATATAAAATAAAATCGGAGAAAATACTCCATTTTGAACCATTGTTTCTGAGCACTGTTAGATTTGATTAATCCATGCTAGAAAACAGAACCCTCAAATAATTTTCAGAATTTTACTTAGTGTGTAAACTAAATTAAAAACCTACATTACTCTGAACAATGAACTATGCTCATTGATTTTAAAAAAGAATTTTTGTTGGTAATCTAGAAAATAACAACCAGGGATTTATTTTAACCAGAACTCATCAGATCTCTTTTCAGACAGACAACCATAATCCTGGTGGACAAGCTTACAAACAGGTGTTGTCATTTTTCCCAACACGGTGGTGATCAGCAGGTTATTGTTATGAGTGGTCCATCTGAGTCAAGCTGACTAAGAGTGGGAGGTGCTTATAATGAGCCCTCTAAACTCTCTCATTTCCCTCCCTTCCCCAAAATGCAAAAGCAGGAAACAAAAGCCACAAATAGGCTTTTTACTCAGCCACTGAAAATGCCTCACATTATAGGGATGGCAGCATTTGAAAATTCTGCCCTCTGCTGACAGGGCTTCCTGTGGCAGGTGAAACCTGGATACTGTTAAAAATAGGCTCGCCCGGGAGTGACACGGTGAACACTTGTGAAGTGTAGGGGTGCTGTGTAACACAAGAGCAAGGAGCTTGCAATACTGCAGCCCAGATTAATCTAGCAGTGTCTGGGAAAACATCTGGGAATCTGAATCATTTTGGAATACAGTGGCATGTGATAGTTTTGTACATTCAGAACTATAAATACCATTCTGAGTCATAAAATGCTTTTAAACAAGAAATTGCACACTAAGGCTAAAGTTACAAACATCTACATCTACATATCTGAAGTTTAAGTTAAAATTATGATTAATAAAAAGCATTTAGTACTTGATCATTGAAGTGAAGTCACTCTTAAGACGTCAAAAGGAATTTACCGTTTTTCTTTTTTTTATTGAGGTAGAGGCAGGTGCTATTCTTATTTCCTGTATGACTGTACTTATATACCAAGCTTTGTGTGATAGTTAATGTTAAGGATTCGATTTGTAAAATGTATGCACTGTTTAAGCAGGTGGCTCATATTTAGGAAGCTATATAAAATTCCATATTTCATTTAACATTCACTTTTGCATAGAAAAGAGGTATTTGTATTTTTCAAATATTAAGTAAACAATATGTGCCAATACCATAGATAAATTAATCAGGGAAATGTGACTGTATATGGCTTTTTTTTATATTTAATTTTGCCCAATCTTGACTTTTAAATGAGCTATTTTCATATTATTAGTGCTTTTCTATGTAACTATGACTTGTCATAAGAAATGTTATACCATAAATTAGTAGCTCTCCAATCTTTTCTTTTTTCTTTTTGTTGTTAATCTTCACTCAAGGATATTTTTCCATTGTTTTTTTTTTTTTTTTTTTTTTTTTTTAGATACAGTGGCAGGGAGGGAGGAAGAGAAAGAAAGAGAGAGAGGAAGAAATACTAATGTGAGAGGGACATGTTGATTGGTTGACTCCCAAATGACCCTGACCAGGGCCTGGATTGAGCCTGCAACCCAGGTACATGCCCTTGACTAGGAATCAAACCCAAGACCCTGAGGTCCGCAGGCAGATGCTCCAACCTCTGAGCCAAACTGGCCAGCGCAGTAGCTCTCCAATCTTAAACATTTCCAAAGTGTCTTGAATTCTCTGAAGACACACTCAAATTAATATAGATGTCAAACCCCAGGGGTGGGGGGAATGAAGAGCAAAGTAAGGAAGATGGAGTTTTAGATCTAAGGCTGTAGTCCTTTCTATGGGCTGCTGGTGGACATGCTGGTGGTGCATCCCAGTGGTTTTCTCCACAGAAGGAGGTTCATTTGCATACTAATGAATTTCTTGTCCAAAACCAATTGGTATTTATTTTGTTGCTCCTTGGTCATTTTCATTATCTTTTCATTTCTAACACTGATTATATTAAATTGTTTAAAAAAGAAAGGGAAGGGAAATTGTGCATTCAAAGCATATGATAATGATGTATACAGTCATGTCTGGCAACAGCAATGCAGAAAGTTACAAATATGCACACAAACAAATTCCCATGCATAAATATTAAAAATTAAATCAGAAAATACTGGAAACAGTGCTGTAAATTCACATACAGGACTCAGAATTGTTCCAGGGTAAAATAAATTATTCTGCTTGTCACTCTTCCTACTTCCTTGAACTTGTTAAAATATTTGTTGCTTTAACAGAATCTTTCAAAGATTAAAAAGAGAATATCAACTTAGAGCATTCATTATTATATAATCACATAAATGGAGGATGAAATACAGTAGACTTCTGTGTCTGCAACGATTAGTGGAGAAAATATTTCTTCCGCTAAGAAACGATATATTTTAGATGTTTAAGATCTCATGAAGCGAAATCAGAGACCACTGTTAACACTCTTCCTCACAATGGAGTATAAACCAGGGTACCAACATAATTCAGGATCACTAGCGAGTTTATTTTTCTATTTGTGATAACTGAGGACCACATATTTCTCACCATTTAACTATAAATATGACTTTACTAATTTATGAGGAGAATATTGGGTATGGACTTGTCCTGGCTTATCCCCAACCTCTTTCCTGACCCTTTTTAGGTCCAATCAGCACATGTTTAAAAGACTGGGAGTCAGGTTCCAACATACCTTGTACCTCAGGTTGGAAGGCATGTGTTTCCTTAATGTAACTTCACACGACTCATAAGTTTCACTTCCTTAGTACCAAGTTTCAACCACCTTATCCCACAACTTCCCCCTCCCCAGACACTAGGAACTAACTAAAATCATTAGGTTTGATACATCTGAAGGTGCACTGTAGAAATCTAGGTATATCTTTATTAATCCTTCTCTGGCTACACATGACTATTGAGGATACAGAAAAAAGACCACAAGATTTACGATGTAAGTTGATGTTATAAAATGTAGAGATACCCTTAATCAGTTAGATAAAAAATATTTTCCATCCAAAAAGACCTTTTCTTAAAAAAAACAGAAACAAACAAAAATAAACCCCTCTTATTTGTATAATGTTTCAGATTTAATAAAAAAAATATATAAAAATGATGACTGTTAGGCTGAATTTAATAGGAAGAAAGGATACAAAGTGGGAAGGAAACTAATATTTCTGTATTATACATTTTGCCTACCTAATACCTTTTAATATTCAAGCCAAATTGTAGATAGAGGCTATCGGCCTGATATAATAGGTGAATGAAACAAAACCAAAAACAGACATACAAAGAACTTCAGCAAGTCACCAAAGTGAAAATGTAATATGTGGCAGAATCCGAGCTAAAACGCAGGCTTTTCTAAAAGTAGAAAGAACCCCTGGGATATTCACTGTCATGCTGCCTCCTAATAGAACCCGTAGAAGCAAAGCTAGATACAGTATATATAGGAACAGGAAATTTAAACCTCACACAGGACACCAATTAGACTTAACTTCAATTTGTTTTATGATTTATATAGTGTTTATTAGAGCCTGCATTTGCATAATTTCAAGGTGGCTGCATTTCCAGCCAATGCATGTTAACCCAAATCATGACGGTGATTGTATAGTATCCATCATTATTTCAGTGTGACTTTTTTCAGAAAAATGACCTATTTATAACTTGAGCATAATATATTTTCCCTGAGGTTGGATTTAGAAAAAAAAAATGTTTTCTTTACGGATAAGTCATTTTCATATTGGTAGCTACTTATTATGACTCAAGAATTAAAAGTAGTTACTATGAACCATTCTTTTCAGAATCATGATTCTCATTTACAGGATTATTCTAAACTACCAAAAAAAAAAAAAAAACTGTAGAAAGGTTACACTACACAAATTATTTGGTTCATTTATGCAATATATATTCATTTCCATTATTTTATGCAATGGCCCCCTATACCCTTACTCATTTTTCATGTATTCCTGAACACCTGCATTGTCATTTTTTTTTCTATAGAAAGAACAAATGCCATTGTTGTTTTCCTCTCATTCAGACTTTTGTCATGTGCAGAATATTCTCCTCAGCTTCACTTCCCATGGGCACTTCTAGTGTCTCGGCGTCCCTCACGAACTCACCCACGCTGCTGCTGCTGCTCTTATTTGCGATGAGCAGCAATGGCCGTGTTCCTGGAGCCGACAGTGTATGTTTTTGTGTATGCAATCACCACCCATCTTCACAAATAAAGAAACTCGTGTGACTGTACATTTGAAGTTTCCTGTATAAGGAAGGTGATTATAGTCTAGGTTTTTTGTTAATGTAAGTCTTCCTTATGCATGTGCATATATACTTGAATGTGATTTTTTTTTTTAATCTACAAAAATTGATCTTTCTGTCCTTGTCCCTTACTATCCTGGATGTTTCTAACTTT